ATTCTGTTGGTTCTGTATCTATAGAGAACTCAGACTAAAACAAGTGCCCAGAGAAGCTAAATGATTTCCCAGTGCCACACAACTAACAATTAATGAAGCTGGGATTCAAATATAAGCTTGCGGACTGCCAGTCCAGTTACTTTTGTTTCATGATAGCATGACGGTGTCCCTGGTTTCTTAACCCTACTCCCAAACTTGCTAATTCTATCCTTTAGCTTGCTTTCAAATGTTTAACTCAAAAAGAATTAGCAAATTAGGCTAAGAAAGGGAGTCTGGGGATCCTGGTTCACCCTTTCGCTTTTAGCCAATGAATTCCACCTGTTAAATCATTTAAATACACATGTCTAAGAAGTACTGGTTGCCATAGAGCCACATGTTCAATTTGTCACCTACATTTTGTTAAAGCAACATTAATGCCATTGATTATAAAAACTATAAATGAGCTGGAGATAAACTGCTTATGTTCTCTGTATTGTGGGGGAGGCATTAACATTTAGAGATCTTATTTAGAAAATGGTTCCCCACAACTACGGCAATAGAGATAAAAAGACAGTAAAGGGTAGAGGCTCTGCAGCCAGTCCTGGACTTGAGATCCCACCCTATCACTTACTGTGCACCCTGGGGCAAGTCCCTCTGAGCCTTAGTTTCCTCGTCTATCAAATGAGGATGGATGCGAATAACTACCTCATAGAGGTGCTGTGAGGATTACATGAGATAATGCAAATAATATGCTTAGCACAATAACTAGCACAAGCATAATCAGCATGTGGTAAATGTTAGCTACTCTGGCAGGCACGGCTAGTTAGCTACAAATAACTCCCCTTCTCTTTCAAATGAACAGAATCCCATTTTTAAAAAACTAGCTAGCAATGACCTGGCTAGCTAAAAGACTGTAATTCCCAGACCTAACTTGCAGCCTGGAGGGACCATGTTCTAAGTTCTGGCCAGTGAGATGTATATGAAAGTCTTGTGTGAGACTTTTATGGAGTCTCCTTAAAAGGCAAGGCTCTCTTTTTCCATTCTGTTGCCATGAATGCAGATGTAATGGCTGGAGTTCTAGCAACCATCTTGAATTCTAAGGACAACTGTTACAATGGGGTTTACCTGAACAAGCAGTAGGAGGAGCTTGAGTCTTGCAAAGCTTTATGTAACCTCCATACCAGGCCTGCACTGTCAATCTTTGGTCTTTTTTTTGTGAGAGAGAATATAAACATCTATTTGGTTTATGTCATTATTTTGAGAACCTTTGCTCTTCAAGGCTGAACTAATCATCTTTCTTTTCTTTCCTTTTTTTTTTTTTTTTGAGATGGAGTCTCACTCTTGTCACCCAAGCTGGAGTGCGGTGGTGCAATCTTGGCTCACTGCAACCTCCACCTCCTGGGTTCAAGTGATTCTCCTGCCTCAGCCTCCTGAGTAGCTGGGATTACAGGTGTCCACCACCACGCCGGGCTAATTTTTGTATTTTTAGTAGAGACAGGGTTTCACCATGTTGGCCAGGCTGGTCTCAAACTCCTGACCTTAGGTGATCTGCCCACCTCGGCCTCCCAAAGCTCTGGGATTACAGGCATGAGCCACTGTAGCTGGTGAAGACTGAACTAATCTTAACTGCTCTGGCTGTCCTTTGTAGTCGCCTAAGAATTCAAATAGAGGCTTAAAACCATTTGAGGCCTTATTTTTATCGGCAATTAAAAGCAAGATTGGTCAAAAATATAGTAAAGGAGCTGCAAGTCTTTAAAGCTTTTCCTCTTTTTTCAGTAGCCACTCTAATGCCACCATCCTGTCTTCCGCTTGTAAGCCCAGGACTTCATGCCATGTCCACACAAACTGTGCTCTACTGTATTATATATCTATCATATCATCATAGGATATCGTATCTATCCCATCATCCGTACAATCTGGGCTGGTAAAACTCGGTTCATTCTAATGTATAAATACCATAGGGCATCTTTCTCCTTCCTGAGCATATATATTTTATTTGAGACAAAGCTTTCTGATAAAATGTTTGAAATAATCAACAATTGCTGTGGGAACAATATTCTGGGGTAAGAAAGTCCAAACATAAGGCTGTCGCCCACCACTAAGGTTGACTGTAATTTAAAAGACAATTAAAAAGCATCCTCAATTCCCCGAGGCTACGTATTTTATACCTGTTACTTCAACAATCACTATTACATCATCAGTGCTACAAAATTCCATGCATGATGCAACTAGGTTATTTGTTCATGACAAAAATACCAGTGAGTAGTTGAATGGGGAATCTAAACTACATTCCTCCAAATATTGTTCCACTGTTCAAATATGCCTCATCTCGCCTCTTTCCTAATGTAAACTGAAGTATTAATATAATGGATAGATTTTATCTGAACAAGACAAAGTTTGTGTATCTGAAGATAATGTGCAAGAGGGACCAAACAGCATCTCCTTTTAGAATAAAAAGGGAGAGGGTGTGTATATGTGCATGAGTGATATGAAGTTCTCTCCCCACAGAACATGACCTCTGGCCTTGCTGAGCATGCTCTCTGATTAAAGTAAAATTTTTTCCCAGGAGCTCAGAGTGATCTACAGATGACATAATTAAAATCTCATTGCTTGTCTGCCCTATCCCTTAATCCCTCAACCAATTCTGAGAGCTTAAATGACTCTGACAGGGTCACTCCAACCCTGGTGGCCTTTGGCAGAACCTGGCTCTTTCAGGCTTTTGGGCTGATATTTGATAAGAGTTCTGAGGTGTCAGCTTACTTACTTGAACGCTACAGAGTCTGCAAAATGTCTAGGTGCAATCAATAGGCTGGATCTAGGAGAAATTTCATTATATATATCCCTCACTGAGATAAAATTTTCAGGACACTCTTTTGACTTTTCTTGTATTCAGCGGTCAAGTTCATCTTTGTCACTGTTGTCTTTACTACACTACTATTTTCAGACCATAATCAACAGGCTCTAACCCATGATGGCATGGCAACCAGCAGACTTATTTTTGTAACGTATTAAGGACTGATTTCTATTTCTAGGTAAAACAATGTCTAAGCAAAAGGAACTACGAGGAAAGTGCCAAAATGTCCTCATCTTAAAAGAGTTCAATGGAAGACAACACAGAATTTCTGCTTGTTCCTCTTTGGAAGTCTCAGGTATACAAAGGTCGTTTAACTTCTAAATTACTGGGCTTCTAGAAATGGTTGATACCTTAGGGTATCAGAAACTAACAAATCATGTAAGGCAGGAGCTAGAAATTGGCCTTTATCACGTAAAAATCAGTTTCATTAGGCATTTGGTATATAGATATAATCTCTTAACCTGTGGCTTTTGTAGGTTGCATGCAGTCGAAAGTTTCTGAAGGAGGAACTAACACACAGAAATTGTCAATTCAATTTATATGCACAGATGTAGTAAATGTGCTTTATAAAAATAGATTTATCACACACATAGAAAAAAACTAGAAAGTTCATTTTATAAAAAATCATTTTATAAAAGTTTAACTTTCAAGTTTCTTTAATTAGTAAGTATCAAAGGAGCATTAAAAATTTAATTTACAAAACTGTATGTTACACATGTGCCTTTTTAGGAACAAATGGAATTGGTAAATCAAGAAACGTGCTTTCGAGTTTCAGGTTTAGTTTGCCTATAAAAAAACCAATTCAGGCCCGGCTTGGTGGTTCATGCCTGTAATCCCAACACTTTGGGAGGCTGAGGTGGGTGGATCACTTGAGGCCGGGAGCTTGACACTAGCCTGGCCAACACGGCAAAACCCCGTCTCTACTAAAAATATAAAAAAATTTGCAGGCGTGCTGGCACATGCCTGTGATCCCGGCTACTCTGGAGGCTGAGGCAGGAGAATTGCTTGAACCCGGGAGGCAGAGGTTGCAGTGACTGAGATTGCGCCATTGCACTCCAGCCTCAGTGACAGAACGAGACTCCTTCTCAAAAACAAACAAACAAACAAAATAATCTTGTGCAATAAAAATCCAAATATCTTTCATTAATATAAATTAATATTACTCATTTATTGTTATTTTATTCTCTTAAAATATCCCCCAAAAGAAGTATTTCATAACATGATCATTAAGCGTGGAAAAATATTTACATGATTATATTACTAACTCTAACTTGTAACATCATTAGTTTTAGTTATTTTTAATAAAGTAGTTTTAAATTATTTAATTTTTAATGATTACATGAAGTACCCTAAATAAAATGTAAGTCAAAAAAGCAAATTATTGCAAAAAAAATTGATACCCTTCAAAAGTAATTTTAATACGTCATTAACCAAACAATTAATTGAACTAAAATGTGGAAAAAAAAGAAAGCACCAGAATAACACAACCTAAATTGCTCAAGTTCTATAACGGCAACATTTTTTTTTTTTTGAGATAGAGTCTCACTCTGTTGCCCAGGCTGGAGTGCAGTGGTGCGATCTTGGCTCTGCAACCTCTGCCTCCTGGGTCAAGTGATCCTCCCACCTCAGCCTCCCAAATAGCTGGGATTACAGGCACATCCCACCACGCCCAGCTAACTTTTACATTTTTAATAGAGACAGGGTTTCACCACACTGGCCAGGCTAATCTCAAACTCCTGACTTCAAGTGATCCACCAGCCTCGGCCTTCCAAAGTGCTGCGATTACACCACGCCTGGCCACAAGGGCATCAATTTTAAACAAAATATTCTCGAATTCAATATATGTAGAGATCACATAAAATCCAGTTAAAAATGTATCTTATGGAGACATCTATACTTTAGTTTCTTAAAGTGCGCTACTTGTGTATATATGTGTGTATGCAGACAGATAGGCAGATAGATAATTTATTTCAGTACAATTTCTCCAAATTGGGATGGAGTGGCAAAGGAATGTAGCTGTGTACACCTATCCGCTTGCTCCTGTATTTCAAGCAGATGAGGATCCACTGTCACTCTGGCTTGGAATGAATACTACAATAAGCAGTGTTTTTACAAACCAGAATTCTAACCCAAGAATTCTAGAAAAGAAGAAAGATTATGTGCTTACCGTATAAAGCTCATTAAGAACCTTCATTAAATCCTCATGAAGTTGGAATGCAATCTCTTTGCTCTGTAATTAAAAAGAAAATAAAAAAGAATATTTAAAAATTATTTACTCTTAAAAAGTCCACTGACTGAAAATAGGGGAATGTATCTAACCCGTTAGAAAGACAGCAAGGCTCTGTAATAAACATCTTCAACGGAATGGCCCTTTGTAAACTCTAGACATTGTATACAGATGGACCCCTAGGATAAACAGACCAAACAAGTGACAACCTTGGGTGAATGGCTCCCCCACCATTCAAACAGACTTTACCAAACAGAGACAAAGTAAGCAGGTTGAAGCATCATGCTTGCTTAAAAGTTGAGTTGCAGAACTAAGGACCATTAAAAATGAACTAGACCATGAAATTTTACAGTGTGATTCCCAAAAAGCTAACTTAGAAACCAAACGGGAAATTAACTTCCTTTGTCCAAAGTTACAATGTGACTGACTACAAGTTTAATTTTAAGAAAGCGCTTTTTTGTTTTTGGAGACAGGGTCTCACTCTGTCACCCAGGCTGCAGTGCAGTGACATGCGCACAGCTTACTGCAGCCTTGAACCCCTGGGTTCAAGCAATCCTCCCACCTTAGCTTCCCAAGTAGCTGAGACTACAGGGGCGTGCAACCAAGTCCAACTAGTTTTTACGTTTTTTGTAGAGACGGGGTTTCACCATATTGCCCAGACTGGTCTCAAACTCAGTGATCTGCCTGCCTCAGTCTCCCAAAGTGCTGGGATTATAGACGTAAGCCACTGAGCCTGGCAAGAAAGCACTTTCAAAGCAGTAAAATGGTAAGTCCACTCAAGGTCCATGAACTTTTACCTCTGCATTTATTATTATTTTCAATGAAGACAAAAAAGTGGAGAGTATCATTCTTCTACCCAGTTGGTAAAAAACAGCATTTAAAATACCCTTCCCTAGGCTAATTCTGAGAGTTTGATAGAGAAGTATTTGAATATTACTTTCAGCAAAAGCTGTAAGTTATTTTAAAGAAATCTTACATCCAAATGACCTTTTTTCCCCCCATTTTGAGTTCATTATGTAGTCAGCTACAGAAAATGGAAAAAAGATGTGTAGCACAGCTTAATCTGCAGTTTGCAACAACAACAACAACATCCACTGGTTCATGTATGTACCTCTCACTGGGCTAACAGTATTAGGGATAAGGGCCATATCTTAATCAGTTCTGCAACCCCGCAGTGTCCTGTGTGGTGCTTGGGCAAGTGGGCACCAAGAATGCAGAATTTAAAGAGGGTCCTGGTCCTGGCCCAAGTCCATCTTGTAAACATGAGGTCATTGGGTCAGGCCTCAACAAAAGCCAAACAAGTATGATGGACTGAAGACTCGTGGAAGATAAAATAGTGTGGGAAGATGGCGTCAGAGCAGTACCTGAATTTGGAGAAATTTAAATTCATTAGCAGTATTTTTCACTGAATTTCCTTGGAGTATCTAAGAGAGTGCTGCTATTTACTAAGCTCTGACAGCTTCTAAAATCCCAAATTGAAATTACAGATTTTATGTCTTGCTGTGTCCCTGACATGTGAAGATGTGGGTTACAAATCACCCAAGAGTGAAAGGAAAGTTTCAAGTAAAAAAATGAAGTCAACTGAAACTCATTTTATTTTTCCTCTGTCTTGATTATCGAGAGGGTATATATTACACTACAAATCTCCTATGACTTCAGTTTGGTGTTATTTTAATATCAGATTTCATTCAAGGATCTAGGCCAACAATTTAGAACTCTCTAATGGGATCAAAGGCCACCAAGTAACTCTGCTCAGCTACCCACGTTTCAGGCAGCAAGTCTAAAAAGAAAAGATGGCTGGTCGCATTGGCTCACGCCTGTAATCCCAGGACTTTGGGAGGCCGAGACAGGCAGATCACTTGAGGCCAACAGTTCAAGACCAGCTTGGACAACATGGTGAAACCCCATCTCTCTTGAACATACAAAAATTAGCCAGGTGTGGTGGCACACATCTGTAATTCCAGCTACTCAGGAAGCTGAGGCATGACAGCTGCGTGAACCCAGGAGGCAGAGGTTGCAGAGAGCTGAGATCACACCACTGCATTCCAGCCTGGGTGATACAGTGAGACTCTGTCTCAAAAAAGAAAAAGAAAAGAAGAAAATATTTCTTGGCTAAGACTTCAGAACAATAACAGCAACAAAAAAATCCCTTATGTTCAAGAAACCTTAACCCAAGAAAATATTCTGGGTCAGATAAAAGATTTAGGTTTGGGGTTATAAGGGTCCTCAAAGCTATCTTAGGCCAAACATCTTAGGACAGGATGATTTTTTCTTTTATTTAACTTTTATTTTAAGTTCAGGGGTACATGCACAGATCTGTAGTATAGGTAAACTTGTATCATGGGGGTTTGTTATACAAATTATTTTGCCACCCATGTATTAAGCCTAATACGCGTTAGTTATTTTTCCTGATCTTCTCCCTCCTCCCAGCCTCCATCCTCCAACAGGCCCCAGTGTGTGTTATTCCCCTCTATGTGTCCATGTGCTGACGAGTCACAGTATGTTCCATATTTTCTAAGACTTCAGATAATGAGGTAGAAGACATCTGGCATCACAGACAGACTGTGCTCTGCCAGGCATACACTTACATTTTTCTTTTGTCGTTCCCCAGAGGCCCTGAAATATATAAAGTTTGTCTGCAGGCAGTATAATATAATGCCTAAAAGCAAGGTCTAAGGACTACAGAGTCAGAATGCATAATGTGAAGGTTCAAGGACTTTGGATCTGCCTATGCCTCAGTTTCCTGACCTGTAAAATGAATATAGGCATTGTACTTATCTCATAAGGTTCTTGTAAGTGTTAAAAAGATGATTCATGCATAGTATTAAGAATGGTTCCTAACACACAGTGAATATACCATAATTATCATTATTTCTTTTTCCAGATACTGTTCGTTATGGCAACTCCCTTGAGTGAAAAGGCCACATCACATTGTCCTTTCTCGTGGTCTCTTTTGACATTGATTCTTTTGGCTTCCCTGAAGGAGGGGCTTGAGTTGACTTTGATGTCCCTCCCTACTGCCCTGGCCTTTAGATTCCTTCAGGTGACCCTGGATTCCAAAGGGCCCATAAGGATTATGCTCCAGCTTTTCTTATATCCATATTCCCTTGCCATGTGTGTATATTAAATCTATCTTCCTATGTTCCATTTTCTCAGGGGGTCCTACTACCATTGCTATTGAATGAATTAATGAAACATCCCTTAGGAAATGGATAATTCCTCAAGTCCACATGATAAGGTATATGTAACTCATGAAAGAGGCCCTTGAGGAGCAGGCTCCAGTAGGAATTTTAGATTTTGTGAAAAGTTGGTGTGGAGTTCCTTTCAGTAGGTAGACCCCTGGCTATCCTCATGACACAGCACCAAAGTTTCTGCCTGTTTGTTCACTTTGAATGACAGTCCAAACCCTCTATTGTCTAGTAAATAACACAGAAATTAAAGATTTTCTTCCCAACACTAGTCTGCAAAAATTGCTAAGGAACTGAACTATGCTCTGAGAAGCACTAGTTTATATGACTAATTTGTGAAATATGAATTCACACATCCTTGTATTCACAGATACTTGGGCTGGACAAAACATCAAGTCCTAATCTATATCCTGGGGACATGGTTCCTGTCCTCACGGTATGGCAACAGTGGAGGAAGCACCTCATGTTACCCCCACTTTAAATATGTTTCCAGTTTATTACAGTAACAACGAGAAACAATTGTTTCTTCAAAATGCTACTCTGGACTCCCAAAGAAGCAATCTTTAAACCAAAATGTACCTGGTGTGGTCCAGTTAGCATACGGCATTACTAGGCTAATGAACTGAAATCCTTTAATTAGAAAATATCTGGATTGTCAAAAGTCCATCAAAATTCAATAAGTGAGGCCAGGTGTGGTGGCTCACACCTATAATCCTAACACTTAGGGAGGCTGAGGCAGGAGGATTACTTGAGCTCAGGAGTTTAACACCAGCCTGGGCAACACAGTGAAACCACGTCTCTATTAGAAAAAAAAAAAAAAAATTAATAGGTTAAATACGCCTATGGATTCTATTTCATTAAAAATTAGAAAGTAGGCTGGGCGTAGTGGCTCACGCCTGTAATCTCAGCACTTCGGGAGACTGAGGTGGGCAGACTGTCTGTGCCTAGGAGTTGGAGACCAACCTAGGGAATATGGGGAAACTCCACCTCTAGAAAAAGTATAAAAATTAGCTGGGCATGGTGGTGCACACCTGTGGTCCCAGCTACGAGGGAGGCTGAGGTGGGAGGATCTCTTGAACCTAAGAGTTCGAGGTTGCAGTGAGCTGTGAGCATACACTCCAGCCCGGGTGGCAGAGTGAGACCCACTATCAAAAAAAAAAAAAGATGATAATTTAAAATATTTGAAAGCAGTGAGAGCAGACCCTTGGCCCTTGAACAACAATTGCCACATAAGAAAAATAATGTTAAGTATTAAGGAGAGCAATCAATGTTTCTTCTGTGTTAGGGAAGAAGTTTTTGTTCCTCATTAATATATTCAAATAATAGTAAAACTTCTAATATTCTAATACATTTCATTAGGATTCTGGGGTCCCGACCCAAGGGAAGGAAAATGGATAGAACTTCAATTCAGTTAACATTTACTGAATGTCTCCAGTGTATAAACCCAGAGTTTAATTCCAAGCCTATTTCCAATTGTTCACTGTTTATTGTCATTTTGATGTTTCAGATATTTCTAACATTAGTCCAAAATGAACAGTCTCAAAGTTTTTAACCTTTTTCCACCATGAAAATGAACTAAGTATATTGAATATTGAAGAAATAGAGAACAGAAGGACAATCCCCCCTTTATAATATTTTTTGTTTATTTGACACAGGTCTCCCTCTGTCACCTAGGCTGGAGTGCAGTGGCCGGAGATTCTCCCACCTCAGCCTCCTGAGTAGCTGGGACTACAGGCACGTGCCACCATGCCGAGCTAATTTTTGTATTTTATGTAGAGAAGATTTTGCCATGTTGTCCAGGCTGTGCTCAAGTGA